CTAGATGAGCTAACGGGGTCAATCAATCGTCATTTTGTAGAGCGTTTTTTACTGCATCTTTTCTTCATAGAGACAAATTTACAACCACTTGTTTCACTATAGAAAAATTTATTATTCAAATCGAGTCAGGACTTCTGGCCCATCCTTTATACTTTTTTACATTTGTCATCTCTTTCTTTTTGTAAGGTTTATCTGTTTGTGATATTTAGGAAACTGAGTGTACAGAAGTAGATGGTTGGTGTATTAAAGATTATCAAGATCGTGCGAGAGAAATGATGTCTAATGCACATGAGCAACTATATCGAGAATACACGCAAGAGAAAGGTACGAAAGTTTATATATATTAAAATAAATGATGGCGTTTTGTTCGTCTCTTAATTTTAGAACCAGAAGATAATAACAGTATTATTGCATCTCGTCCAAATTTACTTGAGAATGATACAGAAGAAGATGATGATGATGATGATGAAGAAGGAGAAGAAGAGGAGGAGGAAGAAGAAAGTGAGGAAGAATCTGAACCGTAATTTCTTTTTATTCTATTTTGTTTTTTGTTTTCAACAATGTAATAGTCATATTTGCTCTGAAAAATCTTGTTTTTTACTTGAATGTGCTTTTGTTTATAAAAAATGAAACTATCTCTCTATATATTTAATTGATTTATTACGCAAACTCAAAACAATTTTTAAGGATATGCTTTTCTAACTCATAGTTAATCATCAGAAGTGTGTGGGATTGATAGCCTTGTTCCACAGTGATGGAGCAGGACGGAATAGGTTTCAAACAAATTTTTGACGGAATGAGACGGGATGAAGTTCTTCAAAAACCTTCGTCTCGCGCATCTCTGTTAGCCATCGTCAATTTTTGTATTTTTTTACTGTTTTTTAATAGAAACAGAAAGTGAATAACCTCAAGTCTCGATTTTGTATTTGTTCAAAATAATGTTTATTATTATACCCTAAGACTAGAAACATTATTAGCTTTTCTTTCTCAATACTAATTAATGAATGTTTATTTTACGATAGTGCCGACGTGTGATTTTTGACAAAATAAATTTTAAATGACTCTGAAAAATTAATAATTATTACGATACTAGTGGATCTCAATGAGTGTGGAATGAAGAAGTCAATGAAATTTTGAAAGTATAATGAGTGGTGAACTTTTATTAGAGATAAATGATGTTTTAACTTGAATGATAACAAAAAATTGCGATTTTGTTATTGTTAGTAGAAGAAAACTTGACTATAAACAATATGAATATGTCGGAGTTTAAGTGAGACAATGATTGATCTATCTTCTTCTATTGAAGTGATGTGCATGTTTGAATATATCCTTCCTTTTCTCTTTCTATTTTATTTTGTTTGAACTACGTTGAATCGACTAAACGAAAAAATTAAAAGTTATTTGAACAAAAAGTAGAGAAGAAAAAAAATGATCATCATAGTTTTATTGTTCTATTTCTTCTAACATAGAGTTCAAGTTATACTTATCAGACAGATATAGTTTAGGCTTTATTCTTGAACCAGATATATAAAGCACTGTTAATAATATAAAATACATTTACAAGAAAAGTATGTACCATTTAAAGAATTTTGTTTGTAAAAGCTGTTTCTATCTCATCGAAGAATTTTTTTTTTTGTCAAATAAAATCCGAAAATTTAACACAAAAATCAGCAGATAGATACTGAATATGATGATGAATTATATGAAGAATGTACTATTTACTCACTAGTTGATTTAACTTTTATTCTTTCAGAATACAAATGGAATTGATTCCATTTTAATATTTCAAAACTTAAATTCAACATAATTCTTATACAAATTCCGATTCGAAAATGTTAGATAAGTTTTGCAGTAAACTGCCATAGTAAACTTAGTGTTCTTAGTCGTATACTATAAAACGACTGAATCTGGGCAATCATGTTGTTAGTCTTAAAAAAAAGCTTTTTTATAGTTATCATTATTTGATTTCTAACGCATTTATCGCGATATACTAGATATTTGCTATTATTTACTGTATATTTTAAAATAGAAAGTCGTCAAATGTTTTTTGGATAAGTCGAGAGATTGTTGAATAATTTTAAGTTTTCCTTTCATGTTGCTTATGTTCTTACAATAATCTAAATGAACAGACTTCAATACTAAAATTAGATTATTTTTAGACGAAAGAGCGATGTACCTATCTACTTTCTTTGTGTATCATTATGGCATTTGTGAATGATGAATAAAATACTATTGTGGTACATGAATTGATCCTCTTCTAGAATATGGCTGAATGAATAAAACAATGACAGTCTCTTCTAAGAAAAACAACTTAAGTTGTTTTTCTTATATGACTCAAATAGCTCTTCTATTAAAAGAGTTATTTGAGTCATTTTACTGCATCGGGAAAAAATCTTTTTCAGTTACTTAAAATTAGAAGAACAGACATGATTATACTATGACTACTCTTCTAGTGTTTCGCGAATGTATAACCATCTTTCTTCTATTCTTTTCTTTTCTTCTTTTTTCTCCCAGCATGAGCATGCATGAATGGCACAGAAAGAAACCATTTTACTTTCGTTTATTCTATCGGTTTCCTTTTTTCTTTCTTTTGTTTTGTGGGCGTATTTATATATAATTTTTTTCTTTTCTACCTTTGATTTCAGAACACTATATTATATTGTGCGTGTTTATATGTAGTTAAGAGCCTTATTTTCTCCATTGGTTTAATCAAAAGTAAATTATGCTGAGGAAACGTTTTTCATGCTTCATTTTCCGTCGTTATCGATTGAGATCAACCAGTTGATTATTTTAGACAAGTAAGAATTATACAAACTCACAATTTTAATTGAATTAATATAATTTCTCAAATAGTTTCCTCAGGTTAATGCGTCTAGATAAGCGGTTTCTTAAGGGCTTAATTAATTTTTCGCTTTGAAAAAGAAGTGAAAATTCCTATCCATTTTTTTCATTGTGATAAAACTAGCGGCGCAAGGTGTCGTATAATGCGGATGATTTGCACACAATTGTTCGTAATTGGGGTCTTATGGTCACAATTGTGATTCAAACAGCATAAATGCGCACAATTGCGTTCGTGACAGCGCAGTTGCGCTGTTGCAGTCATAATTGTGATCCTACGATCGCAACAGCTAGTGCAAGTATGCGTAATGACGGCACAATTTTTACTTGCGCTATATTGCGTGCGCCTCAAGTATTAAAAAGTCTACAATTTGAGTAGCAACAGAATAGTTTTAGCCATGATTTAAAGAAACATCTGCATGAATCTTATATATAGTCATGCTGGTATATTTTATGAAAAGTGGAGTTAACGTGTTTCGTCATGAGTTAGAGTTGAGCAAGTTTTGAGAATAAAAGTATACGCTTCCCGCAGGTGACGTTCTATAAACTGCATGATGTTGGATATTAGTTCGATTACTTCTATGGAAAAAGTAATTTTAGAAAAATTTAATTTTTTTTCATTTGTTTAGTATACTTCTTTTTCTTTTGTCTAGTATGCTTCTGGCAGTTTGGAAGAACTAATAAGTTCATGAAGTAGAGATATTGCAACAAGTATCCAAGTAATTTTTTAGTTATTAGATACTTTAAGGTATTTTTAGGGTATCCGTCCAAATATCTGAAACAATTTTCGATATTTGAGTACCTAAAAGTTTTTTGAATCTCAGTGGCATGTTTAATTACTTTTGAAGAGTTTGTCCGCCAGTGAACACTGGTACTTTTATATAGCGAATAATTTGGTTGTTGCATGTCAAGAAGTCATGTGCATGCTAGAAAAAAAATATATTAGTTTTCAAAGATAAGTTGTATTTATGTAGTATGTTGACACGTCAAACAAAGCAGAGATTACAATAAACATAACCCTTGTTGGTAAACTAGAAGTTTCAGTAAAATTATCAGATATCTGTAATGGTGTGTTACAAAATATATAGTACAATACCCTTAACATGATAAATCACTTATGAAATAGATCACATGACGGACTATCCTACAATAAAAACAACGTGAAAGCAGCTGTCAGGATTACAATTTGAATTATAAAGTATTTACATAGCCATAGTACAATACTATGCTCATTATTTATGTAACTTATGCGAGGTACCGAATGTTGTTTGAATGGATCGCTACAGCTCTCATCTGTTGCAGCCGCTTCAGTACACAAACGAACATCTGGCGGAAAAAATATAACGTTTTTAAAATATATCCAACTTTAGAATATTTTTATGAGATTTTGAAACATTTTCAAAGCCTCAAAATACCTTTACTTTCAGTACAGTCTTGAAACGATATAAATCTGACGGGTAGATGTTTAGAAAAATATGTGGGAAAATTTAATGATCGAGTATGGGCACTTTTCTGAACTAGGAACAATACACAAAACTAACCACCAGAATGTTGTATTAAATAGTTCTCAAAATTACCTATTTTTTCATATATAAATCATCGTTTTTATTAGCTCATAATGTAGAGTTCTGTGAATGGGAGGAGCTATAGCCAATTTGACATTTCGTGTTAGAATACTTGGTCAGATTTTTAGCTTACCACATTCTTGATTTGTATGTGTAGCACGAATGCATACTAGTGAAACCTTATAATTTTTATGTTTGACATTTTTTTTTATTCATCAATCGTGCGAACAGATTTATCTATTTTTTATTATTAACAACACTAGGGAATTGTGTCTATTCATTTTTCATTGTCAGACTCTTTTTATTTCAATTCCGATGTCTTTATAAATTATATTAAGGAAATAACAATACCAATGAATCATCAGTTTTTTTAGTAACATTTTTTTGTCTTTGTACATACTATTCGGTGTCTTTTTGAAATTAAAATGATATTTTTCATCTATAATCATTAACACTTCATTTTATAAATAACAATCAAATCAAATCAAATAAATATGTATGTATTTAGTAGATTTTTCTGTTGCTGTATGGACGTCCGAAATATAAAACGACTGAACAATGTTCAGTGAACATATTCCATTTTTCTTTTTCTGTTTCTGTTAGCGTCATGATTGAACTGTCTTCTTTTTTTTTCAAAATGTAAAAAAGAAAATATGGTTTCATTTTCATTTGTGTCTCATATGAAGACCGTATAGTAGATATGCGTCTATTTGTCTCAATGCATTTCATCGAACAAAAAGGAGAAGAAGAAAAAAGTTTTGAATGAATGACAGGTAATTAAAATATATTTGGTGTTGATACATTATTTTTTTTTGATAGAATGATATGAAAATCAGAGGATAAAAGTATAGGTTTAACGTGAAACAATGTCTCACGTGTGAAGGTATATCACTTTCTATTTCTCTTTTTTACTGCTCTAATGTATCCGTTTTTCGCAAACAAGAAATCATTGTACGTCTAATCAAACATGTTACTGTTTATTACAGTAATGAAATTGTCTGTGTTTTAAAAAAAATTTATTTCATGCATCACTTTAATTAAACCAAATGAAAATACCATTTTTGATTAAAAATTTATTCTTTTAACGTGTTATATCAATGGAGTTTGTAGCAACAACAAGGATTTTTATATAAATTTTCAAAACAACTGTGAGAAGTTGTTTGGGCAGTTATCTAATGATAGACTACTAGTAAATGAAAACTTTATTGTTATTTATTTTAGATTGCTATTTAATTTGAAAAAAAAATTATGGGACTGAACTCCACAAAACAGTCATCATTAACAAATGCTGATTATTCGGTAACATTATCATCGACCTATTATCGTGCTCAACAAACAATTCAGGGTGAATTTCATCTTAATATTCGAACAAAATTACGTATTGAAAAAGAAATTCGTATCGATTTAATTGGAGAATTAATTGATAAACGATCAAAACGTACGGCTCAAAGACAATCGTCCACAACACAATCGAATAAAAATATATTTTTTACTTATCCTTGTACACTGGTTACATCACATGAAAATGGTACAGCTCGTACAATCAAACATCAACAAATCACTTATCCATTTCGTATTCCATTAGGTAACTCATTACCGCCTACATGTGATTTTAAAGATAACTTTTCAATTAATTATTATCTTGATATAATTCACGATGGACATTTATTACCACAAACACATAAACCATTAACAATTGGTCCACCCCAACCAATCGTCATTTCTCCACAACCAGTTCAAGTAAATGGTGCAAGTGATTTACAAATTATTTGTGGTTTACAAAAAAATTTTTATTCATCTTCTCAATGTGTACCTATTACAGTTCATATTAATAATCCCAAACAAAAACAAATTTTACGAATGACCGCTCAATTAATGCAATTAGTTCAGCTAAATGCAAATAAACGTGAATATGAAATATTTACAGCATTATTAAACGAAATTCCAGAAAATAATAAAACAACAACAATAACAACAAACTGTGAAATTATTCTACCATCAAATTTAGCTCCAACATTTGTAACAAATGATCAAACTCATCCTGATAACTTACCAATTGTCAATGTTCAGTATGAATTTAGAATAACTGCACATATGAAAGGAGCACTGGCCACGAATGTTAAACTAACACTGCCAATTGGTATAGAGTAAATGTATATGATGAACTAGTATTGGAATAATAATTAGTCAGATTTGGTCAGATCGAAGATGAAAGATTAGGTACACACACACATGAACAAGTATTTTTCTCCTTTCGATATAAAATAACGACACTAATTTTTTATTCAACCACAGTATTGTTGGAAGATTTTTTTTGTTGCTATTACTGCTATTTATTGTTATTATATGGCTAAAGATTTGTGATAATCAATTGTGAGCCGTATTCTTTATTTGTTTAGTTATACTCTTTCTTGTGGATATTTTTTGGGGAATTCTAACTACTGTTGTACATAGATATTTATATATTATTAGAAGAATTGTGAAAATTCATTCAATCAGGCAAATCAAATACTTTACAAAGCATATTACATTTTTTAATGAAAATGAACTGTATAAGTATTGTCGCCCGACAGGTACAAAAAGAGTTTTTCACGGTTTTAAAGTTCAGACTAACAAATGTTTTCTTTTTGTTTTCAAAGTTATATTGTCATTTTTATGCTACTGTTATCTCTTTTATAGTTATTCTGAGAAAAATTCTTTCCAGTTTATAATATAATGGAGAGTTCGCATCCTGTTATCAAGATAAATACGGGTAGTTTTTGTGCTACGAGCTTGGATATCAGGATTCCGATTGTTTTTAATTAGGGCGAGGAAATGTTTTTAGCGGACAGTCGTTTTAAAAAGTCTGTGGACAGTTTTTTTTCCAAACAAGTGAAACATTTGTTCATTGAAAAGAATTTTTGTTATTCCGCATCAGAATTTATTTTTTCAACGAAAACAATACTTAATGTAGGATGGAGAAGTCCCCAAGCCTAATCGAAAACTCTGTCTGATACTGTTCCCTTATTATGAATATCGTTTTATTTGACGTTTCAAATGTTTTAGAAACTTGTTTTATTTATACGTTCAGAGACGTCCAGGTCGAGGTGTGTGCGCACGTCACGTTCTGCACACAACGTGCGAATGATGTCATGCGTATTTACTGTACAAAATGCATATCATGCGTACAATACGCACCATGTACCTTTTTAGAGGTTTATCATAGATGTCAGATAAACATGTTACGATGAAACTGTAGAGAGAGAAAATCAGGTTACGCCCATTACGCACACCGTGCATACACATTCGTCATGCGTACCAATCGAAACGTACGTCACACGTATGGCGCGTACAGAGAGCGACGTGACGGACGTAGAGCTCTACCTGGGCGCGTATAAATAAAATTTCAAGTAGTAAAATACATCGTAGAGACAACCATTGCTATTTGATTAGTCCTTTATGTCGCCAATCAAAGCAACGGGTAACAGATAATTTCAAAACAATAAAATTAAAAACTTTTCAGTCACATATATATTGAAAACAGGTAATGACACTCTTCTTATTTGTATAGTTTGTCTTTTTATGAATTATAAAACCGTTAATTAAAATATGCAAGTCTTCGGAAATGTTTGAAAAAATAGATATTTTTGTACTCACCAGTTAATAAATGGAGAAAAGGTAAAAGTCAGTTCATTCACAAATGAGCTTACTTTTTATTTTTTTCCGGATCTACCAGATTCTTGTTCATGGCTATTTATAAAAGTTCACTTAGCACTCATATTCATCCTTTTTACATTTCTTATTTCCATAATGAAAACTTGACTTTTTAGATTTATGTGTCCTCTTTTCTTGAGAGCCAAATGACTACATCCGAAGTAGCTCAACGTTCTATTGAAATTCCTTTACATGACAGTGATGAAGTACGTTTTATTTATTTACTTTGTGATACTATATCGATAATCTGTTTTTGTTGAATGAATTTTAGGTTATTGAAGTCAGCCTTGATCAACTACCAGATGGACATGAAGTATTGTCAATTCTTCAACAAGAAAATTGTCCATTACACATATGGGTTACATTGGCCGTAAGTTTTAAAAATATTTTCCATTAAAGTTTGTTCTATATGAAATTCAGTTTGTGTTTTGCTTTAGTTGGAATATTATCGTCAAGAAAAAGAAACAGATTTTGTTCAAATTCTAGAAGCAGCAAAAAATGAAATAACAAATCAAAAACAACAACCACAATCTCATCAACAGCAAACAAAAGAGCAACGTCAACACGAAAATGATCAAATGAGATGTTTAGATACATTAGCTGCTTACTATGTGAAATGTGGATATAAAGAAAAACGTGGACAAAAAAAACGAGAAAATTTCACACAAGCAACATTATTATATACACATGCAGATAAAATTATGATGTATGATTTGGTAAGTATGAATATTTATTAATTATAAAATAAGTGTTTGACAGAAGATCTATATCATTCTTATGTGACTGTGTACAAATAGAAAATGTCTGTTTTTGTTCGTTTAGAATCATCTTCTTGGTCGTGCCTATTTTTGTTTACTGGAAGGTGATAAAATGGACCAAGCTGAAGCACAATTTAATTTCGTTTTGAATCAGGTTTGTTTAGAGATTTTACATTTGATAGATAACTTCAACTTTGTTATATTTAGATGCCAAATAATATTCCAGCGTTACTTGGACGAGCGTGTATTTCATTCAATAAAAAAGATTATCGTTCAGCATTAAATTTATATAAACGTGCATTAAAAAATTGTCCAGAAAATTCTGCTAGTATCCGAGTCGGGATGGCAAATTGTTTTGCTAAACTTAATAAATTAGAAAAAGCTGAGTATGTATTATTTGTTCGTCGTTTTTAACTACAATCGTGTGTTTCCCTCTCATCAGAATAGTCGTAGTATAGTTTCATTCTAATACTCGAAATTAAGCAAGCTCTCAATATGAAATAACTGAAATTTGTTTGGTCTGTTTCGTCCTAAAACAATATAGATGTCAAAAGAGAGAAAGTTTCATATTTTTCATCATTAGAAGGATTGGTATGATATATTTTCTTTATTAAGGCTCTCGTTTAATCGTGCAATTCAAATTGATCCGAAATGTGTTGGTGCTTTAGTTGGTCTAGCTATATTGGAGTTAAATCAAAAACGAAATGAATCAATACGAAATGGTGTAACAAAATTATCACATGCTTATCAGTCTGATCCACAAAATCCAATGGTTCTAAATCATTTAGCAAATCATTTCTTTTTCAAAAAAGTATTTTATTTTTATTAATCTTTTCTTCATGTTTACATTTCTTTTTTTGTATTTTATAGGATTATCAACGTGTACGTCAATTAGCGATGCATGCATTGAATTATACAGAAAATGAAGCAATGCGTTCAGAATCGTGTTATCATTTAGCTCGTGCACATCATGCTGAACGTGATTATGAAGAAGCATTTCGTTATTATTATCAGGCAACACATTTAGCACCAGAAAAATTTGTTTTACCACATTTTGGTTTGGGACAAATGTATTTGGCACGTTCAGATTTTACTAATGTATGTAAGATTTCAGTAGAGTATGTCGGATACCATATTCCAACTTTTTTAGGCCAGTGATTGTTTCGAAAAAATATTAAAAGTTCATCCAAATGATCATGAATCTATGAAAATTTTGGCTAGTATCTATGCTGAATCAAGTGAAATCGAAAAACGAGATAAAGCACGTGAATATCTGAAGAAAGTGACACAACATGATATACATGATATTGATTCTTGGATACAATTAGCTGAAATATTAGAAGGCGTCGAATTGCAAGGTGCATTAGATGCATATTTGACTGCATCGAAATTGATACGTGAAACACACGGAGTAGATACACCAGTTGAAATATTGAATAATATGGGAAGTTTATATTATCGTTTGAATAATTATGAAGAAAGCAAGGTGAGAAAGGAACAAAGATCATTTTCTATTTATAAAACTTATTCTTCTAATCCTAGCGTTGTTTTGAAATGGGTATTCAAAATGCTGATATGGCTCGTGAAGCAGAGCCAGGATACTACAACTCAATATTAGTGACAATGCGTTATAATTTGGCTCGTGTTTGTGAAGCATCATTTGAATTTGATAAAGCCGAAACATTATATAAAGAGATTTTACGTGAACATCCGAAATATGTTGATTGTGTATTGAGACTGGGCTGTATGGCACGCGATCGTGGACAAATATACAATGCATCGGATTGGTTTAAAGATGCTTTAGAAATTAATCAGGTTAGTTAGCACAATCTTTTAAGGATGTATGTGTGTGTGTAGATTCTAAAATAAAGCTTAAGGACGCAAGACCTATGCATGGAATCTATGTAAACTCGATGAGAATTATTATTTAGAATAATCCCGATGCATGGACAATGATTGGTAATTTACATTCAGCTAAACAAGAATGGCGCCCAGGTCAAAAGAAATTTGAACGTATTCTGCATAACTCAAGTACGGCAAACGATTCATATGCAATGATATCATTAGGAAATATTTGGTTACAAACGTTGTATATACCAACACGAGACAAAGACCGAGTAAAATACCTCTTTTTCAATCTCTTTTCTAGATTCTTTTAGTATCTCTTTTTAAAAGGAAAAACGTCATCAAACCCGTGCATTACAAGTCTATAAAACTGTATTAAAAAATGATCAACGTAATATTTGGGCAGCAAATGGAGTTGGTTGTGTATTAGCACATAAGAATTATTTGAATGAAGCTCGTGATATATTTGCTCAAGTTCGTGAAGCAACAGCTGATTTTCCTGATGTATGGTTAAATATTGCTCATATATACGTTGAACAAAAACAGTATATACCTGCTGTACAAATGTATGAAAATTGTTTGAAAAAGTTTTATAAATACAACAACGTTGAAGTATTAACGTATTTAGCCCGTGCATTAGTTAAGGGAAATCGTTTGAAAGAAGCGCATAATGCATTGTTAAATGCTAGAAGAGTATCACCACATGATCTGACACTGATGTATAACGTGTCATTAGTACAACAAAAACTAGCTCATGAAACATTAAAAGATGAAAATAGTACATTAACACCAGTATTGCAAGCAATCGACCAATTGAAAATAGCCCAAAAGTAAGAATAAACAGCTTCGAATGTATTTTTCAATAAAAATGTTTTTTTTCCAATTTTAGAACATTCACGTGGTTAGCTGAAAATGGTGATCCATCTAGAATTGATTTAAATCAATCATCTCAAGAAGCTAGACAATGTTCCGATTATCTATCCCAATCAACATATCACGAAATACGTGCAAGAAAGAAAGATGAAGAAGAACAATTTATCAGACGTAAACAAGACGAAGAAAGGAAGAAATTACGTGAAAAACAAATGTATGAAGAGGTAAGTAAAGAAATTTGTGCGTTTATCTTGTTTTTCTTTCGAGTTATGTTTGTAATACTCGTTGTAGCAAGAACGTCGCCGAAAAGATGAAGAGCGTCGTCAATTTGAACGTAAGAAACGTGAAGAATTTGTACGTAATTGCAATTTATTAGCAGTAAATGAAACACAAGAAAAAGCCGAAAGACAACGACCAAGTGGAAATAAAAAGGTTTGTTGTAGTTGACAACAAACTCTTGATTTTACTGTATTTATTGTTTATCTCTAGAGACCTAAACAAGTTGGTGAAGAAGAAGAATTCATTAATGATACACATGATTTAATATCAAATACGGAAAAACAGAAAAAACGAATGAAGAAACACACGGGTGGTGATGATGAAAATGAAAGGATTGCACCAAAGAAGAAAGAACGAAAACCACCAAGGTATAATATGAGTTATTCCCTTTTTTTTGTAATACAAATTTAAATGCTTTTTTGAAGAAAACGTAAAGTTCGTGACAATGTGTCAGGTAGTGATGAAGAAAATGATGCACCAAAACCGAAAAAAAAGTTGAAAGAAAGAAAAACAAAAGTAAAAATAACTGTGTCAGATGATGAAAACGACGATAATATGCAGCAAGAACAGGAGACTGATGAGTTGGAAGGAAATGAAGATGAAATCAATGAGAATGAAGACGAAGATGATGATCCTAAAGATAAAAAGAGATCAAAGAAAAAGGTAAAACTGTCAAGAAACTTCGAGAACAATCTTACGATTACGATGTTTTCTCTCACTATTTAGAAAAGTAAAAGTCAAACACAACGTTCCACGCCATCCAAGCCGGTTTGTATTATTTACTTGAAATTATTTAAAATCTAAATTAATGGTATCCTTGACCATCCTTCTATTCTGGATTGATTCTATAAAAAGAAAATAGAAGGGTTTTGAATAGCGAGCTGACCACGTACCATTCTGCATATTTTAATTCGATCTATTTTTTTATTCAGCCTCGACAAAATGATTCATCTGGCCGATATAAGTCGAAAGCAACCATATCAAGTAGTGAATCAGAGAATGAGGACAATGCGAAAAAGACACCAAATGAAGAAGAGTACGTATCGAATTGTACACAGGATAGTTGTTAAAATAGATTTCAATTAGGAGAACACGATGGGCTTCTCTACATTTTGTATTTTTTGAATCGAATATGGTCTACTATCTTTCTTTTTTTAGGTCCGGTAATGAGGGACAAGAAAAAGCGGATGATGATGATGATGAAGTCGAACAAAATGAACAAGAAGACGAAGAAGAGCAACAACCGAGTGAAGATGAAGGAGACAACAGTCAAGTTGAAAATGAAAATTCACCACTAAATGGTGACGAAGAACAAGAGCAAGCAGATGAACAAGCAGATGAACAAGAGCAGGATGATGTTCAGCAAGATGATGAAAATGAGGATCAAGATCAGAATGATGAGGCAGCAGAAGATGAAAATGATGAAACACCACAAGAATCACGTGTAGAAGATTTAGAAATAAGTGATGAAGACTGAACGGCAATAAAAACAACCTTGTTTTTCTATTTATTTTCTGTCATTATTGTTTTGCTTAGTACTCACTTTTTCCTCCATGTGTATGTTATTGCTTTTTTGTATATATTCTTTTGTATTTAAAAATTTGTGTAATAAAAGTAAATACATTCTTAAGTAATATAAATGATGGATATTTCTTTGAATTGAATTTAACAGTCAATCTTTTTATAGACACCAAAGATAAAATCGATTTATTTTTTTCCGAAACGAAATGGCAATTTCAAAATTATTTAAAGATTTCTATTATTTGTATAGATTTTATTTGGCAAGAACTTTGTAAAGCTTTTTTTCGTTTTATTTCAACAACACCACTCATTGACTGTAGAGTATGTTTTTTAGAAATCTTTTAGTTTTCGACTTCTTTCGAAATACGAAAAAATGTAATCAAGTGAGAGCGTTTGGTTTACTTGCTCTTGGTGTCAACATCCATGCTGAGAAAATCATTAACATTTACTTCAGCAACTCACATAGAATAAAAAAAGCTACTTTGGAATGTCTTCATTCCTGCAAATCCATTGGATATGTTTATAATATATTTTTATAATTGTGATAATGATGAAGCCAAAAAAACATTAAATCTATTCATATGAATTGATTGAAAATTAGACCATGAAGTTAGATTTGTCTAAGATCAAAAATGTTTAATAAAAGGATGTGTGTGTATGTGAGTTATGAAAGAACAATTCATTTGTATTGGTTAATTAGCATATTTGTATGTTTTAGCTTTATGTCTGTGCTTCATACAGGCATGGGTGAGTCCGAGTCTTGTAATCTTTTAGATTCTTTTTTGATGAGTGTGGTTTATTTCTCTTTTTTAATTTACTGAACTCTGGATAAATATTTGATTTTTCAAAAATAAGGTTACTTTGCATGTTCGTCTCCCGAACAAAATTTTCAATTTCTTGTGAAACAGAGGGTGTCTTTATTCCGCTTTTCATTTTTCTCTGTTCATTTGTGTTAAAAGTTGAATAGATCGGACTCGAAACACAAAAACCCAAGTTCGAGTCCGAGTCCTTCAAAAAACTCTCCAGCGCTAGAGAACTATGCTTTTCTCGTTCATTGAGTACTATACCTTTTAGTTATTCGAATTGATCTTTCTTTCTTCCATGGAGTAAACTTGTTTTAATTATTGTTGCATATGAATGATAAATAGTTGTGGTACAATTGCTTCTAAGTAGTTTGCTGTCGATTGTGTATGGGACGTTTGAATCCGACACATGTCGAATAATTTGTAATTATCTTGACTAGTTGTCGCCATTCACAGATCATTGTTTCTCTATCCCACAGAGGAGATTCTAATATAGGACAGTAACCGAACATTTTATCAAAGTTGACCGGCTGTAGTTGTTATAATTAATTTTAAATTTAATTTATTGCATAAAATGCATTCAAATTCATGTCACATGTATGTGAAGCGAATATGAAAGCTCATTCATTAAGATAATGGGCTAGTTTCTACATATGTGGTACAGTTATGCATTCTAGATAACGTTGTCATTTGGCATAGTATCAGAATCGACTTCTGGAAGACAGTAGAGGTTTGTCTTTGAGACTTCCGTATTTCCGTGTATTTCAACGGAGTGTCTCTCTTTACTCAAAGTACTCTGTATAGGCATTAACAGTCATAGCGACAGTAAAAAACCTTGTCAGGACAACCCTTCGCGGGGCTAAAATGGTGAAACTCCTTTGCAGGTCTTTCACTTCTAATACGTAAAGCACTGCTACGTTAATATAGAGAGATGTTGCTGGACTTTTATCTGTTTTGAGATAAATGATAATGGTGACTAGGGACTTTTTACTTTATTTCGCGTTTTTTTACTAAAAGATAAACATTTTTTCAAGATGTTTTTCAAAATGAGATAATAATTTAGTTTTAGTACCGATTAATACTTTTATGATGAATACACCACCACTGTAAGATGAAGACCCCACTCGTCTATGATGGATACACCCGGGGAAGAGGAGGTAGGAAAATAGGTAAAAATCAAGGCTTTTTGAGTATAAAACTTCAACTCCTTCTCCTTTGGATATAATGAAGGAGTTTCACAAAACTTACAGAGGATAGAAGACGTAAAAGAACAGAAGTTATATGAGTCTTGAAGTGAAAGAAGTTGAAAAAAGCTCGTAGAAGAAAACAGTTGTCAAGATGTTGAAAGATAAAGAAATGACGAGAGATACAATAGAGGAGTAGAGGGTATGAAAAAGAGAGAAGTAGATATCAGAGGTGGGATCGGTTCGGTTTTAAACAGAACTGAACCGATTTTGGTTCGATTTTAGTTTTTCGTAAATTGGTTCGGTTAGGCATGCACCAGTTACAGTTAACTGTAAAACTGTAACCATCATAACTGTGTAACTGTAAAACTAACTGCTCATAACAGTAGGCAAATATTCTAGAGTGATTAGTTTTGTACGATTTTAAGAATAGAGACATTAAATGTATGCAAATCGTACAAAACTAATCACTCTAGAATATTTGCCTACAGTAATGAGCAGTTACAGTTAACTGGTAAAAAACTGTAACTGGTGCATACCTAGGTTAGGTTCGAGATTTAAGCCTTACTTGCACCTGTATAGGACATTTCTTGGCGTGGCTCACGGATAGACCATGACTTTCAAACTCTCACGCGTCCACTTTCAGAAAAATGGTTCGACTATCTATGGTATAGCACAGACTAACTCATGCAATGGGCTCATCGTTACTGTCCATCCTAAAAGTAGCTTAAAACAATAATTCTATAATAGTTAGATTTGTGATGTTTATATTTCGAACTAAAAAGTAAAATAAAAATTACTGTTTGAAGCATAAGTAATCAAAGGAAGGTACCATAGCCAAAAGTATGTGCAAGAATAAGTATCGTACGTATACAAATGTGCGTATACATATGAGCGCAAAATGCCAAAACTTTGCGTAGATGAAGACTTCTGCACAATTCACTTTTTATTTAAATAAGTTGTTGCGATTCTCCTAGATCTCCGTATCGATTGAACTGCGCTAAAAAATTTTTGAGCTCATAGACCCGGACTGGACTGGACTCAAACTTGCAAGACCATGGGCTGGTCTGGATTCGAAAAAAAGTTTTAGATTCACTTGAATCGAGGAATAATCAGTAAAAAACAACTGTTTTTATGGATTCTATAATGGATGGAATATAGAAAGTGATCCGTTTTGCAGATTGATTTTTTTTCGTTCAATAACGCAGATCATAAGCAGTCCGATAGTGGAATACGGTCAAAAGTTGTGACAAAGTCAGAGGCTATACTAACCGTCTTTGATTTTGTCTCAAGTAGCTTCCTGTTCTGTGCGCAAAACGGTATCAAAACTGAAAAAGATGTGTATTTTAAAGTGTTAAAATGAAGTGTTAAAATGTTTAAGTAGGGATTTACAAATAATCATTTCGGCGCCTTTACTAATATTACTGTGAATGATATTGTTTTTAAAAATTCCTATCAAAAATATAAATATTTACTGGCAAAAAAATGCATAAACAAACAATCATCTGATATGTTTTGTTCTTATAGAACAGTTGTTTTCCTGTGATAACAGGTCTCTTTTTTATTTTTGAAAGTGATGTGAAAACACGTCCGAAGAGAAAGAATACACACGGAAAGGAAGAACTAAAGTGAGGGATGTTTGAATGATAAAGACAAAGAGTTTTTCGTTTTATTCTAACTTTAATTACGAATCCCGTGAAGATCTTTTCCAGACGGTTCTTATCCGTAAACTTCTCTTCCGGACACTTCTTGCCGGGACAGATCTTACTTTAGGCTACTCCTACCAATTCCTTTTACTAATATGATATAACAATCATTAATTAACATATATCTACATATGCAAAATCGTTTCGAAAAAGGTAAAATCGACATCTTATGTCACTCAATGAGCTCTATCCTGCTGAATGTTAAAAAGAAAAAAAAATTTGTTCAATTTCTGCATGTTGTTTTTAGCTAAGCAGATATCCTTAAGTATCTCCATAGAAATGAGAATCATCCGGACTCTTCTTTTATTATGGTCCAGACATTATATCGGATTTGCTGGAATGGAAACGTGAAACGAGTGCGATAATTTATACGGTCCTTGAGGATGTCACGCACTTCGTACCAATAACTACTTTAATCCCATGCAGTTTTTTAAATGTGGATACTTTTTGCAAAGTTTTCGTTAGAATTATTTTCTACGTTTTTCGCCTCTGATGCAGATGGAACGTAGTGTACACGACGATGGCGCTAAGGATAAGTACTATAGTGTAGGAGACTAAAAAACAGGCCTTCCGCTTATCTAACTTAATATTAAGAGATCTAATCAACCTGAATTAGTCTAATTGCTATCACGATATATCCTCTTACAATATTAGTCTTCTGTTATCGAAATTAGGGCGATAAAAATTATTCATCAGTTTTAGCTTTTTTATTGTTATTAAGTGTTATAAATTATTTGTTTTTTTACGATCACCATAAAAGAACAAATAATTTTTTTTACGAATATATAGAGTGTACAAGTGCAAGCTCCATACTATCAGTATGAGAACAGAAGATGACGGTAAAGTGAAGTGTGACGGAGACTATTACTTGTTCATGAAAGTACTTTATGGTGAAAAAAGTCCTTCTACATAGATTAAATTGTTTCTTAATGTTTTTTCCTATTATTTTTTGTTTTATCGTTTTTGTGCAAGTAATATTTTTGATTATCTTAGTTAGAATTTTGACTTTTATGGTTGCCTCTTCTAAATATAAAATAGTTGTACCGCACCTACATAGGATTAAGCTGAACAACTTTGTCACAAAGAACTTCGCTTCAAACTGCTTAGTTTTTGAGATATTGAACTCAGTACCAGAAAAATGACACTATTCAACCCAAAATCTAGTTTTCTCGAGAACAGCGAATTTGGTAACCTCGAAACTTGTTGTGCTAGTACAATTTCATGTTCTCTATCGAGTGACACTGAATTTGTACTTTAAGTTTA